ATTAAGTAATTGTTAGCAGAATACAGTTTCCAATGGTAAAGATAGTTCTAAGACTAAAAGATGATGAAATGCCCGTCGGGTATATTTGGGATTTCGCGAAATAAATTCTAACGTGTGGCGTGTTACTTCCTTATAGAACAAATGGAGTTTACGGTGTTGTAGTTCACACCAAGCTCATTTGAAATTCTTACTGGTTTTGCGTAGCAACAAATACGTTTTAAAATTCGATTTGTACTTGGTGACAAAATCGCACGGGTCACATTTTAAATCTGTGTCTTGACAAATGTTAGACGTTAAGATGTCCTTTAAGTTTTAGTTTAAGTTTTATAATTAGAATTATCATTCGTTGCATAATCACACTCTACAGATTTTAAATTGCTATTGGGCAGGTATTTTTTTACATGGATTATTATTTTCCCTATACAGGGTGGTGACTTGCGTAACGCATCATAGGGATTTCAATGTAGAATTCATAACATGCGATTATTGGCTCCCCAAATTATTTTAGAGCAAAAATGTATTAAGGTTTTTTGTAGAAAAAAATTTTTTACGTCAATCAACCATATTAGTTTTAAATTTTTTGCATAATAAAGACGGAAAATTGGAAAAATAAAACCCGCATCATTTCAATAATCTGCGATGCCATGGAATTTTATAATACAAAAACTATGCCAATATCCGTCATGCCATGGAATGTCTGCTATAAAACAAATATCAAATCAATATCAAATATCTATCAAAAAGTATTATATTTAGAACAGCAAATTCAACATAAAGAAAGATCAAATTACTAAAAACGGTTTCCTAATACAAAAATTTACAATAAATGTTCGAATAAGTCACCATTAACTGCAAGACAGTAACCAAGTCAATCATAAAATCCATTTTGAACTGCTGCTAATTGATAACTGGATATCTTTTTGTTTTAGAAAATTCCATGTTATCGCAGATTATTGGAAAAGATGCGGGTATTTTTCCAATTTTCCATCTTTATATGAAAAAAAATTGAAAACTAATACGGTTGATTGGCGTAAAAAAATTTTTTCTACAAAAAAACTTTTATACATTTTTGCTCTAAAATAATTTGTGAAGCCAATAATCGCATGTTATAAATTTTACATTGAAATCCCTATGATGCGTTACGCAAGTCACCACCCTACATAATATCGTTGCAGTGTTTGTATTATGATCATGATCACAAATGACAATCCGATTTTTGTACTCGAATAAATTGTAAAACAGCGTCATATTTTAGTTTACGAACGATCTCTATAGGAAAATGAACATTAAAACTGCACAGCCATACACGGAATTAGTTTGATAAGAGACCTTTTGCCAGACCTGAGAAATTCTCTACAGACAATGGGGGTCAATTAAAATTTACAAATTTGATTTTGCCCATGTAAGTGAGGATAATTAACCGGTTCTAATTAAATGAGGTTTATTAAACAGCATCCGTTAAGTCTGAGTGGTGTCAAAAGAAGCGCTCTTATTTAATTTGAATTTTAAGACCAATTGCAAATTTTTCGGACGTCAGGAGGCAATTAATTACAGAAGTTTTAATTTTTAGACGTTCTTATCTGTATACAAAGGGCCATTGACCCCTTTGGGGCTGACTGACCGGCTACCGATTGTGCCACACCTCTGTTTCGAAACAGCCGACCTTGGCAAGAAATAAGGCTTTAATCTTCTGGCTTGTCTTCTGGTGGCGCTCGAGTCGTCCGTCCGTTCCCCCGACATCACATCCACGTTGCCGCCGACTGCCGCAAACTACCAATATTGTTTAATTTTCACGCCTACCAAAGTTCGTCGCAGACATAGTAAAAAATCAGTTACACCGAATGGCGAGTACTCATTTGGAACTGGCTTCACGATATGGATTTGAATTGTACTTATTTACTTTTATTACACCTAACTATTTTAATCATTTTCTCTCGATAATGTGTATGTTTGTAATGGATGAATAAGTATTAAAAATATAAGCCTTTTTCTGAAATCCTCGAGGAAATTCATTACAGCACGCGTGATGGGAAGCCGGAAGTTGAGTCGCAAATGTTTTGAACTGCTTGTCGGACACTACTAGCGTCATTCAAGAATAAGGAGACACTTGTATTTAAATCGCAGGAGGCCCAAATCAATAAGTGCTGAAATTCTACATAGGCTACTTTGATAAATTATAAAAACATTTTTGGCCGACCTGTCAGGGGTAAATCTAAATTCACTCAAAACCAGAATAGAATTATAAATTTGAATTCATTTTTTTAATAAAACGACAGGGAACTCAAAATGTTCACGATCTCCTAAACTCGGTATATAGGGTGGCAAACGCGCCCTGATCCCCAACAAGTGACATATACACATGTCAGTGGCGGAACTACCGGTGTTCAATGTGTGCGAAGTACACGGGCCCGGGCTAAAAAGGGGCCCGGGACCCGGGATTGTCATACTCGGAAATGATACACTGTTCACGGAAAGACGGAAACACGGTAAATGGAACCTATTGCAGCATACCTCTAGCACGGCGTGAGACCAACTGCAGACTGCAGCCAGCGATTGAGTAATTTTTTTAATTGTAGTGAAAATGAAATGTCGATGAAAATGTACTAAATTTAATTTTTTTGTACATACTAAAATACGCAGTATAACTTCAAGGGTACAAAAAAAATAGCTATAAATTGTCATAAGTCATGAGATAACACAATATATTTTTGATTTTGTTTCAGTTTTGTTACTTCTACGGTTCAATGAAATTTTTTTAATCAACGCTTATACGTACCTATATGAAATTTATAACACATTGTGGTTGATTTGTACTTACGCACATATTTTTCCTCGTATTTTTCTATGTTCAGGTTCAGGAATATTTATCAATTAGTTTTTTTTTGTAGCCAAAATTCATACCTAAATTAATATTGTTATCAATACTTCGTATCATAATGGGGCGCGGCAAAAAATTTCGTACACAGGCCCGTGGCTACGTTGTTCCGCCACTGACACATGTGATGAGTCATACACACCCGAGTACACACCTTAGTTTGAATTAAAGTACCTACATCAAAATTGTCATTTATACCTGACCCTAACCTCTGGTTTTTCATGTTACTGGTTAACACTATGTGACAGTTTACACGGAAACAAATTCGTCTATCAGGTAAGTTTAATGCACACTTGAAAAATCCGCCCTGTATAGTGTATACATCAGACACTTACTCAGAGTTAAATCTCTCTGTCCATTTACATTGCACCGTGACCATTGCGAAAGTGTGTGTATGGCAATAAAATTGGCACCATATTCACAGTTAGGATTAGTCAATACACCTCGTAGCTTAGGAATCAAATCAGGCGATCTCCCCGAGTACGGTCCTAAAAATACTCTTTTTTGGTCATAATCATTCGCATGAATATTATCCCAAATAACTGGAGGTCTCCGTAGGACATCTGTAATCTTCTGTATTGAATCGGCTGTTAATATCCTCGAAACTACTTTGGGACCTACAAAACATAATTAACGAAATCTGTTGAAATACAAAGAGCAGTACTCCACCACCTCCGACCTCAATATCACAAGGCAAGCTACCTACCAGTCCACATTACGTCGATTTCTTGTGCAAGTTTTGAACCTAGCGTATTTAAATACTCGGAGTTGGTAACATTTGGCATCGCTCGCGATTCACAATACTGCGTAGGACACAATAGAAACTTGGGTTGACCTAAATGTTGATAAATTTCATTTGTAACAGAAACTTGTGCATGAGCAAACGATTGGAATATCTCCTTATCGGCCTCGGACATTTCCGGTTCAATATCATCGAATAATAACGCAAATGCCGTACAACCAAATTGTGCTACTTGTTCTAATTTTCTTTTTAAGGCTGTTATTTCTTTTGTACTACTATAGGTTACATCTAAACCGGGCGATAACGCGTAATAAAATGTAACATTGTGTTCTTTGGCCGCAGAAATCAAGCCGGTTAGATGCTCGGCTTCTTCCACTGTGTACAACTCCCGCCAGTACGCTCTGTGCTTGTAATCATCTTTTGGGGCATATACGTACGAATCTAAGCCCCATTTCTTCAATCTACAAGCAAATGTGCACCATAATATTTAATTAATTTGGGAGGATATTTACTTTTGAAATAAATCTTTCCTTTGCTCCGTTGTCCATGGTCTGCCATAGAAACCTACAGCAATAAATATGTAAATAACCAGTGACCTTTTTTCGCATTTTAATATTATGGGGAACTTTGGTAAAGCCTATAGCTATTTATCACTTATACTTTATTCTTCATTACTTACCCTCTATAACCCCGCAAATAAAGTTACCATTTTTTGTATTTAAATTATCAGAATTTGCAAGGTTAGTAGGACCTGCTGCCATGATCAGTGAGCGCCTACAATCACAGAACAGTAACCTACAATCCACATTTAACGCGACTTCAGAAAGAAAAGAATAAACAGAGAGGGGTTGAGTAGGGAGAATATACATAACCAAATATTATGCAATGCACTGTTGCCACTTTCATTTGAAAGGCTAATTTTACGATTCTAATCAAAATGAGTGATTTATCACATACGCAGTTGATTTTAGAATCAAACAACGAACTGGTATTCATCAGCGTAAAGCCGGATTTATAGTTCCGTAGCCGTAAGAACGTAAGAACGGAACCGTAAAATCTTACGTTAACGAAAATTATACGATTTATAGTTACCGTAGTGGTAAGAGATGAGCTTGCGCATTAGTGCGAAACGAGAGCTGCCATTGTACGGTCTATTCAGTATATCTTCCGTTGCACGTCATTACCTGAACAAAACGACGTACCAACGTAAACTTACTTTCGTTTGTTAGACCACACATTAAGCATGTAGTTTATTTTAGCCGCAACAGTTGGTAGCATTTCCCGACGTTGTCGCTTTTAAATTTTGAATTCTGACAGTTCGCGTTTGGTTTACTTTTCGTGTGATTTCATTTTGATTATTTCCTACGTCTTTCGCTGTGCATTCAAAATCTGTTCTTTTCAGAACAAAAATTAGTTACACCCAACAAGTAGGGTTTAAGCTGAATTTATAGTTCCGTACCCGCAACACCGTACCGTAACGTTTGGAATTAAACCCTGCTTGTTGCGCGTGAACATTTATAATTCGCGTTAACGTTGCGTTAGAACGGTTACGGTACGTAGGAAATGCCCAAATCTTATTTCTTACGGTAAATCGTGCTAACGCGCTTGTGTTCGGTAGTACTCGGATAATTCAAACAGTTGAGTTTATTCTGACGTTCGTTTCGTTTATTTACAATAATTATTGACACTTTGTTGGTTATTATTATTTTGAAATGCACGTTACTCTTACTGACAGATGACATACAATGACAGAATTCGTTTCGCACTAATGCGCATGCTCATCTCTTACCACTACGGTAACTATAAATCGTATAATTTTCGTTAACGTACGATTTTACGGTTCCGTTCTTACGTTCTTACGGATACGGAACTATAAAATCCGGCTTTAATTCCAAACGTTACGGTACGGCGTTGCGGGTACGGAACCATAAATTCAGCTTAACTAGCATTCGTGACACTGACAGTACCTCAAAAATATTGGACAATACTTCGACTACTCATAAGTCATGAGGCGCTTTCTTTCGGTGATCCAAACGCGTTTGGTTTGTCAAATCACGTTCTTTCGAAGTGTGATCTTATGAACATGATTGCTAAAATCGTAAACAAACTGAACATAATAGTTTTATGATTTGTTTACTGATTCACGAATTCATAACCTATAATTTTGCTCAAATGTTAGGTTAGTCAATATTTGTAACTGACGAGGAGCATAATCGTGCAAGTACTTCCACTTGTATTTAAATTATTTTCATAATCCAAACAAAAGGTACGTAATTCGAATGCAAATGTGTACCTATTACCATAATATAACACACTATTACGTAAACTTAACCATACTTTGATTTAAATTCCCGCGTTCTTTCGTAAAACGTGATCCTACGACCCACGATCTTGAAATCGTGATCGCGAAGTAGCCGAAAGAAAGCGCCTATTATAATTTTAATTCAAATATATGGAAGCACCTTATACTGAACGTATTTTGAAACATCCTGTATACAACCGTACGAAGCAGTGGCGTCTCATCAAATTTATATTTTACGTTTGAAAGAAGTTTACACAAATCATGTTATTGTTTACCAATTAATGGTTTTTTAAAATTATATTACGTAAGATGAGAGCTACAAGCGTTTAGTTTAGTTGATCCAAGTGAAATTAGTTATTCAATTAGATGGATACAGGAACCAAATTAGAATACTACCCCTTTAGCTCCACAATAAATCCAAGTTTTTGGCATAAGTTAACAGAAATTAAGCTGGATGTTGACAAATTGAATGAACACAATAGACCCATTTGGGGCTATTATTCTAACCTTAACTTAAATAAGTGCAAAACATCTCTATTCGAAGTGGATAGTACATCGTTCAATGGGTAAGCGTTCCTGCAATTATTCCTTGCCAATTTCTAACAGTAGTCGTCTACAGGCACTATTCAAACCAGAAAGTCTACATACCTGTCCTTGGCATGCTCCTAAACAAAAATACGATTGAACAGTTTAAAGAATGCGATAAGAATTCACTCGTTCAGACGGAAGGAAAGAAGTTGTGGGGTGATATTAAAAGTGACAAACTACTCACTGATCCATTTCGTTTAAACTCATTTTTAGTGCTCTCATTTGCAGTTTGTTATTGATTTCGTTTTGTCTATGTTCCATAATACTTCTCTTGTAGGATTTGAAAAAATACCACTATTACTACTGGTTTTGCTATCTTGCTCCTACGACATTGGAAGTGAAATTACTTAAGATAACTCCAATAGAAGACTTATTTAGTAATTCGGTATGCTTACATTAATGTTGAATGGTTTAATTTCATAGTTTTTATAGATAAACGATCTATTCACTAGCTATAATGAATTAGACATTAAGGAAAAGCCATTTTTCTTATTGAAGCGACATTGTGATGGCCTACAGATTTTACCACTAAGCCGTATTAAAGATGTTAACTCCGCAAATGCATCCGACTTTTATTACGGATTTTCCGATCCGTCCGGGTCAGGTCAACATCCCGGTTGGCCGATACGTAATTATATCTTATTAATATTGCACTATTGGTAAGCAAAGTTGAATTAATCAAAGGAAATGCAATGAATAATTTTAGCCCGTTTTTACAAGGCAGCACTGTGAACCTTTTTGCATTCCGTTTAAGCAGAAGCGGTGTGACTACTGACTGCTCTCACAGTTTGGTTTTTACCACAGTATTCCCCTTAGTGAATCTCGATGAGTTAATGGAGAGCGATACTGCTTGGATCGGTTGGGAGAAAAACGAACGAGGGAAATTTGGACCTCGACTTTCAAATATGAGAAATTCGATTGATCCGCAATGGTAATGTAGTTAGTTTGCTCATATACAGATAATGAGGTTTTTTTAGTCTGGCGGAAACGGCGGTTGACTTAAATCTCAAATTAATTAAATGGCAACTTTTACCAAACATCAATTTAGAAAAAATCAAGTGCTCCAAATGTTTATTACTTGGCTCTGGTACATTGGGATGCTCTGTTGCTCGAAATTTACTGGTAATTATCTATTATTAATAAACACACAGGTATAAAAAACAGTCTTGGTCACATTTTGGACCTTTCCTAGGTAGGTAGGTATAGTTTATGCTTGCCGGTTGTGCTCAGGGGCCATTAATGTGCGCATGCGCAAACTACGCATTTCTTATTGATAGAGATACTACAGACATTTTTTTGAAATTTTATCTAAACATTTTTTAGTACTCAAAGGCAAACATTGCATATTTTAATCCACAGTACTCCCATATCGTGTAGTGGCTTCAGTATTTCCTGATTGTTGTTTACTCCTGGTTTAACATTATACTGAAAATGTGTTGTTTATTAACTATAAAGATAGAGGTCAAAGAACCCTGTATTTTTAAACGATGTTTCTTATCATGCTATTATTATATGAAGAAGGATTTTGTTAATTACAAGTGTGTGTGTGCGCGACAATGTTACTCGGCAAGTAGGTAATGTAAGGAAGTGAATTAGCATTCTTTCACGTAAAGCTAAAGCGTGTAAAATTTGTGATTTTTACACAACAATTAGCGATGTAAATTTGTTACAAAAAAAGGGTGGTCTTATAGTTAAGGGCTAAGTGAATTATAAAGTGAGTGAAAGTCAAGAAGTTTGGTGCCAATATTCTTCGCCGATAAATAGCAACGCTGTAATAAATTTACTTAAGAAGACTACCTCAGTCATTGTCGAAAATATAAAACAATTACTGAAATATCAGTGGAAGCGAAAAAAACTAAATTTTTTCGTATTAAACTATTTTTACCCGAGCTATCCGGAAGTAGAAGTACAACGAGGTAAGTTCCAAAAGTACTACAACAAAGAGAAAATGAAGAGGATTACAATTTAGAAGAAGAATTTCTACATCAAACCGCGTTTAATTGTAACGTCCATTACGAAAAAAGTGCCTGTAGATCGAAAGTGCCAACGGGAACAAGATCGTTTAAGCTAGGGAAAATGAAAACGAAATTTGACATTTTCAAATTTTCGGTGATATCGCAGTTATTTTCAAAGATTCTTCAAAAATTTAAAATGCGTTTTTTTAGTCACAAAAAGGGGCAACTTTGCCCGCATTATAATTTATAACCTACACTGTATCTAGCACCATTGCGGAGATTCCAATGGTGAGCCACGAATTTGAACCACCCTTTATGCGCAATATAGGAAAAAGCTATAAAAACAATCTACTGTAAATTGCATTGCATGTTCACAAGAAAAACTCACGGTGTATCTAGAGAACAAAGTGTCGGAAGAGGACACTCAAGGAACAATAATTCGGCGGGCGATTACGTCCAGGGAAGCAACTAAAACAGAATTACGGCACACGGAAATGCGGGTAAAGGAAAGTATAATTAGCGGAAGAAAGTTAGCAAATGATTACCTTTAAATTTATCGGTATACGGTGACGGATAAAAGTACAAAACGTGCTAGTACAGCGAACAATTGCCAACGAGTTATCTTACGCTTCGGTTACAACACCAAAGACAAAAAAATCCCTTCTAAACAACGGCTTTCTCTTTTATAAATTTCGGTTACATGGGTTTCAAACCGACACAGCGTATTCGATTGTTTACATCCAAAAATTGCAGCTTCTTTATTTAAGCGAAAATACGAGATTTGTATTGGTTAGAGGGCACGCTTTCCACAAGATTTGCGTTAAGAAAACGGGGTAGCTAAGTATTCTGTATTTGGTGAGGCATTTAAGTAAAAATCTGGTGGGGGAGCGGGATTCTTACTGAAACTTACTTACTTACTTACTGAAATAGGAAAAGTAAATGTAGGTAGGTCAACTTTTAAGTTACAAAATTTGTATATCCAAGCTTTTAACAAACGGCTCTTGATATAAGAACCGAGACCAAAGATCAATCAAAACACCGCGAAATGAAGTAAACAAGACGTTTTGTAGGCGTGGAGCGTACGTACGATAACATTTGTCGAT